TTTTTGGATAATCTTCAGCAAAATATTGCTTGCAATAAAAGGGGTAATAATCACAACTGAATTATGATTAAAAAATATCTCGGTATTTCTCTTGGCAAAAAGTTACATATAATGTTCCTAACACTGCTTGTAACCTGTATTCATAAACAAAAGAAATTATGACATCAAGAAATTAAGAAATTATTAGACATTTTAAAAAATACAGATGCCAGTATTTTTCCATCCAAGGTCATCTTATCCATGAACCTTATGGGTGTTTATGGTTGCTAGCATTTTTTTGTTATAACATAAGGACTGATGAAGGGTTCAAGGTCCACTCAAAGGATAATGAAAGAAATATGTGACTTCTTAATGCCTTAATTTTACTTGCACTAAGAAAGCAAACAACACTGAAATGCAAACTTTGGATGAAAAAGGCACACATTTTATCTGTGTTAATTACCTTCAGCTTTTCTCTTTCCTCCTCTGTGAGTGGTAATTCCACTTTTTGAAGGACAATTTCAGTCCACTCATCAATGGAATTTTTTAAAGTAAAAAGTTTATCCCACAGAGCCAGAGCTCGACCTATATTTTCATAGTAGTCTTCTGTCTTCTCATTTATCTACGACAATTATAAAAAAACAACCAAAGAGAAATAACACATTTAGGATTAAAAGTAAGTAAAACATTGTTTTGCTCAACACTATTTTAAAATAAAATATTAATTTAACATTATTAGTACAATTTGTTTTATATAAATTAAGGGGGGGAAAATGCCCTTACCTTACCAAACAACTCTTCTACTAAAGAAAATTATCTCATTTGCTACAGCTTATATACCCTATATAGTACAGTCTTCCTAATTTCTAAAGCACTGTTTTTAAAAAATGTGCTTTTTAAAGGCAAATTTAAGATATAATGCAGGCAAAACTTTACTTTGTAGTTCTTAATACCACATACTCCTTGAACAAAAATTATTAAAAATATAAATATTCTGCATGAGTGTGTAATATTAACTTATTTTAAGTAAATTACTTAGAAGATTAAAAATTCATTTGATAGCAGTACCTCACCACACTTTAACTTATTAAGTTACAAATTTTATATAACTTCAGATGTTTTTATAAAAAAGCTGTTTTGAAATTAAAGAAAACAATTAAAAGTTAGTTATATAATCTAATTTTCACTGAATAAGATTATTACATACATCAAGCCATCTGTCCACAATAATATTAGCTTCCTTCTCAAAAGGGGGCTCTTCAAAGGTTCTCATTTTATTTAATTGGAACTGTAGATTTTTGCAGATCTGATTAATTTTGTCTACATCTTCTAGATGTTCATTAAATTCTTCCTTGACAATTTCAATCTATAAAAAAAGGAAACATTTTTGATACATTGAGAGATGAGCTGACAAGAACCATAATTTTATTATTTCATGAAAAAATCATAAAAGTAACTCTTTGATTATTCATTAAAGTAAAACTGTATTTATATTCAAGATGCTGCAGGTAGCTAAAGTTTATCATTCAGGTTTCTCTTCTAGCCAATCATTAACTGTTTCTTTTGTGCTGAAATAATTCCAAGGTGAGAGGGTTAAGATGGGATATAAGCTGCATTTTATTCCTCTCATGAGGCTAATAAAAGCTTGTGAGACCTCAATGCTAGGCACCTGTTCATGTGAAATGCTTGCCTGGGACACAGCATCCAGCCTACATCACCCACAATTGCCATCCAGCTGCACCACACTGACAGTCTAGAGGATTCTGGCCCATGGCTCACAGTGTTTGCACACCTGCCTGTATAACCCACAGTCGCCAACCAGCTGCATCACAACTGACCGTCTCCATGATCCTGGCCCTTATCTCACCAGTTTCTGAGTACAGCCTGCATACCAACGGTCATGCCAGTCATTCTCTCGAAGTCATTCCTTCCAGTGAACCACCAAACCCAGGGGACATAGCGGAACTAGAGAACTGAACAAAAGAGGAGTTGCTGATGCTAGAAGTCATGGTCTCAAGCATTTGGGGCAATACTGACTCAACACTTCTTATAACTAGTCTGCTACTTATCTTAGAAGAACAAATTATAAAAACAGATGGCCATGATTTGTGCCAAGTTTCAGAGCAGCCTTCCTGCTAAGGCCATTGGACACAGACCCCCTATAATGCTGTATCCCTCAAGGATTAAACTTACTAAAAAGCAAATATATACAATTATAGATTTGTAGAGAAAAAAGAAAGAAAGAAAAGAAAACATAGATTGCCAGTAAAGAACGAACACTTCTCCTTCCCAGGAACAGGAAGTTCCCACTTCAGGTGTCAGAAGTGGGCAAAAGGGCGTGTATGAACTTCTACCACCACCCATACCCACCTCATTCTCAGCAGTGAGAGAGGAATCAGCATTCTAATAGTTTGTCAAACAAAGGCAGCTAAACCAGACTGGCACTTTATAAGTCAACACACCAGATGGCCAAGTTTCCAATAAGAAAAAAAAAAATCATTCCTAATACCAAAAACCTACAGTGTTCTCAAGCTGAATTAAAAAAAGAAAAGAAAGACAATAAAAAGAGGCCTAGACAAAAGAGATGGCAAAAATATTTGGAAAAAATAGTTGCAAGCAGCCACTATAAAAATGTCTCCATGAGAAAATATATACAATCTGGATACTAATGGAAATATTTTTAAAAACATACTCTCAGCAGAAATAAGGTAGGAGGCATCTCATTTCCCAATTTCAAATCCTACTACACTGCCGTGGTGGTCAAGACAGCGTGGTACTGGTATAATGACAGACAAATCAATGGAATAGAATAGAAAATCCAGAAATCAGCCCATCTACCTATGGTCAATTGATTTTTGACAAAGAGATGAAATCAGTTAAGTGGGGAAATGACAACCTTTTTAACAAATGGTGCTGACAAAATTGGAAAACTACCTGTAGAAAATGCAAGCAAGATCCACACCTCACTCCATACACAAAAACCAATTCAAAATGGATCATGGACCTAGGACTAAAACCAAGGACTATATATTTCATTAAAGAAAAGCTTGGAGGAACTCTAGAAGTCCTAATCCATAACATAAACAGTCTTCCAAGCATTCTGAAAAATCTACAACCAGGAGAGGATAAAATAGATGAATGGGACCTTCTAAGAAGCAAATCCTTATGCATATCTATAAACTTCTCCAACAGAGTAAAAAGGAAAGCCACAGATTAGGAAAAAATATTTGGTAATGACATGTCAGATAAGGGACTTATATCTAAAATTTAGAAAATACTTGCGCACCACAACAAGATAAAGGTAAATAATCCAATTGAAAAATGGGCACAGGATTTAAACAGACACTTCACCAAAGAAGACATTAAGATGGCCAAAAAATACATGAAGAAATGCTCAAAATCCCTAGCTCTTAGAGAGATGCAAATAAAAACAACTATCATCCCAGTAAGAATAGCAAAATTTAACAGAACAGCAAGCAACAAATGCTGGCGAGGTTGTGGAGAAACTGGAACCCTTATTCACTCTTGGTGGGAGTGTAAAATGGTGCAACCACTACGGAAGGCTGTAGGGCGCTTTCTCAAAAAGTTACAAATAGAGATACCATTTGATCCAGCAATTCCGATACTGGGAATATACCCTAAAGATACCATAACTGCCACCCAGGCAGATATATACACACCCATGTGTACTGAGGCTCTGTTCACAATAGCAAGGAGTTGGAAACAACTCAAGCACCCATCAACAAATGAATGGATAGAGAAGCTGTGGTATATACACACAATGGAATACTATGCTGCATTGAAAAACAAGGAACTCATGCAGTATTATTCAAAATGGGTGACCATGGAAGACATTATGCTGAGTGAAGTATCTGTCACAAAGGGACAAATACTGCATAGTGCCACTGTTGTAGAACAGTAATGACGTCAGGGTTGGGGTGAGACTGAGAAAAACTGAATAAATTACATATACTGCATTGAAAGAGATGAGGGAGAGAACCATTTAAAAGCAGTATATGATTGGTTATTATGGCTATGACTGGAGTCCAGAGTGAAGGTTGTATAGTGGATGTACTGGGGCTGGGGGGTGGGGATTGTATACCAAAGAAGGAATTATTCTTTTAGAGAGAGGAGCAAACTGGGGGGAGGGGTGGGCAGGGAGAAAAATGCAACAATGAATGAATGGAAATCCAAAATTTCTGTAAATGTTCATTAAAATTAATAAAATTTAAAAAATGAAAGACAACATTTAAAAAAAATACTCTCAGCAAAGAAACAGAAGATATAAAGAAGAACTAAATTAAAATATTAGAACTAAAAATATAGAATCAAATAAAAGAAAAAATGCATGGGCCCAACTGGAGGGGAAAAAATCCATGAATTTGAAGAAAAACCATGAGAAGTACAAAACAAAAAAAGTGTTTAGGTTTCTGTCTCCTAAACGCCTATTTAGTGTTGCACTGGAAGAGCTGAGAATCAAACCCAGTTTTTTTTGTTTTTTTTTTTCAAACCCAGTTCTTTTACCTCTTGGTTCTAGACTCTGCTTAAGGTGTAATAAATACTTCATTAAATGGATACACAGAAACACATACATGTATCTTTAAATACTCAAGGTTTTGAAAGCAGAATACTTTGCGGTTATATTGGTAAAAACCGAGTGAAGAGAAAGGAAAGGGTAGTTTTTAGCATAGAAAGGAGGTGTGAGATCTGTTACAATGAACGATCAGGCAATATAAAGGAAACAAGAACCAGCTTCACAAACTTTAACAGAATAGTAACCCCGACAGTCCGGCCTTCTAGTCTTACTTTTGTGTTTGTGCTTTTATTAACAAGAGCAGAAATTTGGCACCACAACCCAGATAAACATCCAGGTTTCTAAGGCTGTAATGGACAAAAGTTCTCAGTGGTATCATACTTCAGCTACTGGTTTAAAGCATTATGAACATATAGAATATACTAGAGGAACTGACTGATTATCTAAAGATAGAACACCAATCATTACAAGACCCATGGACAGTCAGAGTAAAATCAATAGAAAACTTACAAACTAATACTAAAATTTGTTTATGCCAGTTGAAATAGCAAGCAAAACAAACTTTCTGATGAAAGAATTAAACAAAAGCATACTACTCTCTCTTGAATGGAGGTCATTCATTATTTCAGCAAATTTATAATGTACATATGTTAGGCATCATAGTAGATACAGAGTTGTAAACATATAATGAAATTTGAACCTTTAAATGTTTTTTAAAGGCAGACAGCTTTCGTTTTACTTATTTTTTAAAAAGTCCATTTGTAAGCACGCCTTTTCAGGTGAGTATCAGGAGTAGAAAGAAAGTTAACCAAATTTCACTTCAGTTGTTTACATATTTCAAATATGCTCTCAGGAAAAGATGTGTTATACAATGACTGGAACATGACTTTGGGGTTACAGAGACCTAGGTTAAAAAAAATGATTCTGCTACTTATTAACTATACAATCTAGAGAGAGTAACTTAATCTCGTTGCCCTACTTTTTTTCTTTTGGCAGATGGAAGTTGTGAATCTCTATAGAATCTAAGTCATAAGGAGAATTGCATTTACTAGTTAGCAGTTAGTACATGGAAATTTTGGCACAGAAAATGGTTCTTTCTTGCTATGTATTGCTTTCTTTTGACTGAATAGGTGAGGTAAATTATACCTCTTTTGAGACAAGCCTTTTGTTCCTTTTACATTTGCTTAAGAATATAGGGCACAAAACCAAAGCAGGGTAGAGGGGAGAAGAGAAAGCTCTGGCCACAGGTGTGAACCCAAGCAAAGGGGCTTCCCACAAGATCTGTGGGTGAAAGACTACCGCAACCCTAACCCATTCATTCATTCATTGATTCATTCTGCTTATAGTGCCTTGGGCAAGTCACTATTTTGATATCTGACCAACCAAAGAACATGGCTACAGCTATGTAGCCAATTAAAGAATATGAACTATTCTGGAATTTATATTTGGATCGAGAGGAGATAAAGACCTTGATGATATTTACACTGGGTTACATGTTAAAATTCAACTTTTACCAGATGACTGATTAAGGATACTGGACAATCATTAGATAATAATAAAGCTGTATCACTTGGCTTTATTCTTTAAGTACAGATCTCCTTTGACAATTCCACAGCAAGGTTGCAAAAGTGGAAGGCTAGGCTTGAGAACTTTTGTGTTTTATCCGTAACTTATTCTTTGTCCAACTTTCACATGCATATTAAACAAATGAAAATACTATGGCCTGGTTCATGCAACACCTTTGTTTTTAAACTGTAATTCTTGTTCTTCAGCATATTAAAAAGGTCCTTCCTCTTTAATTTACCTAACATGGTATGTCATTTGACTTTCGACTGTTGTTTCCATGGTATTGATTGTTGTTTCCATGGTACTGATTGAAGTAAAATGAAATCCTTGACAAGTTCAACTTTTTCTGTTTGTCATGATGTTGTTTATTGGTTCACTTGTGAGGGCATGTGAACGCTGGACAGTGAACAAGGAAGACCAAAGAAGAACTGATGCCTTTTAAATGTGGTGTTAGAAAAACAATGAATATACAATGGACTACCAAAGCTACAAACAAATATGTTCTGGAAGAAGTATAGCCAGAGTGCCCCTTCATAGTTGGAAAAGCAGAGGCAGCAAATGAGTGAAAGAACTTCAACGCAATGGGCTGATACATTACTGCAACTACAGGCTTCATGCAGGGGAAAGATCGGGAGGACAGTGCAGGAAAAGGCCGTATTTCATTCTGCTGTACAGCGTTGTTTCGCCTTAAAGCTGACTCGTAGGCTCCTTACAACAATCCATAATGTTATCTTAACAATACTGTTGTTATTGTAGAGTCAGAACTGATCCAGAGGCAGTTAACTGCACAGGAGATTTCCCATCCTTCTTTTGCATAGTAGCTGGTAGCTTTGAACTGTGTGCTTTTGGGATTGCAGCGCAGCTTCTTGCCACTAGGCCACCAGAGCTCCCTTAACACCTCCCATCATAAGTCTCACTTTCATCACCATTATAAAGCTATTATACTACTTGCCTTGCAGTGCTATTGTGAAAATAAGGTAACATATTAAATCCTTGGCACACATTATATTGAGTTCCTTCCTAAAATACTACCATAATGACAGTAAGAAATATTAAAATTATACAAACTCCTAAGTACAAAGAGAATAGAAAATGGAAAGAAATTTAGATGAGTAGCTGAGAATAAAAGATGACTTCAGAAACCAGAAAAAGGTGGAGCCTTATACTAAAAGGAAGAAAGTAGTGGGCAAAGGGGAGAAGTAAAAAAAAAAAAACCCATTCATTTAATGGAGAAAGCGAAGGCGTGTGCACCCATGAGGGAAACACACAGGAGGAGCCCAAAACAAGACAATGGCATGAGTTACTTCAAAACACACAAATTTAGACTCCTGAGCTCTTCTCCACCAGGACAGATGGCCTCCCTCTGTACCCTGCTAGAAAACAGGAGGCTGACTCCTGGGGCAAGGTCCTGTGAGAAACACCATGGAGGAGATAACAGGAGCAGAAAAACAAAGACCTGGATGGACTCACCCAAGAGAGGGAACCACTGCTTGAGGGGATGGGGAAAAACATCTATTTTACTCATTAGATAAATAAACTAGAAAGACAGTACAGAGATAATCCAGTTGTAGAGGAAAGGAAAGCATGTTTGCGCACCAGGGGACAACGGGGTGTGCAGATATGGAGACAGATCCTGCAGCAGCAGGGGATCCTGGCCAACGTTCACCAAGGTACTGATGAAGCACCGGTCACTCTGCTGGCATCCAATCAGGAGTGACTTTCCACTACGAAAAGGATGTTACTTAATCGGGCAAAGACAATTCCAGGATAAAAAAAAAAAAGGATTAGCATAAACAAAGAAGCATCTTGAGTAGAGAGGGATCGGGGAGAGAGGGACTAAGATACCTGAGCTGTATAAAAGACAAGAATTCAAGGTCTGAGAACAAGGCAGAGATGTTCCTAAAACAAGTCTGCCTGGTAGAAAACTGGTACCAGGGCACAAAAGAAGGGTCACTAACTGGACACAACACAGAGCGACTCTTACATGCTAAATTTCCTGAAGGGGGAAGCCGAGCTCCTTGAAAATCATTGGAATGAGAACAGCCAGAGCACAGATGCTGAAATCAGGTACACCAGGGGCTACTTCCTCCAGATGGAACCAGACAGACTGGGCCAACTTCCTGCTAATGATACAGCTGGCCTTCCTCAGTTATGTCTGGGAGGAAGTCAGCTATACAGCCACGCATTGTACAACTGGTATCCAAACAGGGGCTCTTTCTGATTGGTCTGAGCGAAGACTGTAAGTCAGAGAATGACTTCCAAACCTCTAGCCACACAGCAGGGACAATGTCATGACCATGGCGCCACTTCAGCTTCAGGAGTAAGTGGCAAGGCGGGTAAGAAGAGCATTAGATAAAGAGACTACACTGTTTGTAAGGATCTCATCTATTTCAGGTGTTGCTCTCAGCAACTAGGAAGCCTGACAAAACTGTTTTCTAACAACTGTTTCTAACTAGAGTTTTAAGTAGTCTATATTTTATATTTGCTTGTGGCACTGATGGCATTTTAATTAGTATACAATGGGGAGAACAATGGCAAGAAACAACTTTTCGGTGTAGAATCACAGAGTGCACTACAGTGTATTCTTTTCTGACTGCTGCATCTTCTGTCACTCCAGGAGAAAATGAAATAAACTACAGAAAACAATGACACCTAGTGTCCATGAGTGTTATTTATCAGGTAATATGCAGCTGTGACTGGTAAGGCAGATAAAGTCACTTAGGAATTAGTTTATATATTAAAATGTTAATTTTTCTTTTATCCACTAACAACAGAGGTTATTTCCTACTATCTTCATTGTCTCAAGTTTGGAATGAAGCTCTAGGTTCCTTTTAGAGAGAAGGACAGTGCAAAGGCTGTTTCAACCATGCAAAGCAGCAGGGGGAGACTCCAGTCCAGCAAAACCACATCTTAAGAATCAAAACCCAAAAAGGAAAAAAAGAAAGCATCATTTAAAAAAAATTCCCAATCGTGCAAAATCATTGCCCTAGAGTCGGGTCAACTCATAGCTGCCTGTCAAGTGGGTTCCAAAACTGCAAATCACACAGGAGATTATCCATCTTTCTGTGAAGCCACTGGTGGATCTGAACTATCAAAGAGGCACAGCATTTGGGTTAGCTGTACAACTTCCAACAGATTACCCCACCAGACCATCACCTAAGGGACTCATTTTTTTCAAGGTCTGGTGATAAATTAAAAAATTCTTACATACCTTCTATGAGAGAGTCACTAGTAACTTTAATCAAGTTTTTAAAATTATCTCATGTAGAATAATAGCCTCTGCACTGTCACAGCTCATACAGAATTTCCTTCAGGAACTTAGGACTCACCTCTGTTATCCTTTTCTTCAGGTTCTCCTTTCCCATGTAAGAAGCTTGTAGGGAGATGACATTCTCTTCTTTTTGAATCAAAGTTGTTAAGATATTTTTAAAATTATGATACTGTTTTAACAGCTCCAATACTCTTTCACACTGCTCAAGGCTACAAAGGGGAATAAGATAAAACAGGTAAGTCTGCAGATAACAAAACCATTCTTTTAGTTGCAAAGACACTACACGGAATTACTAGTAATTTGTAAGATCTGCCCTCTTTAACTGGTTTACAATAGTGTTCTGTCAGGGAATCTGAAGAAAGAGGGAACATATATTTTATCTGACAAATGAACAGTATGAATAACCATTGGGTTAAATGCTCCCCTGATTAATACTAAAATCACCCAATGTGAGTTCTAGAAAGAAGTACAAAGAACCTTAAGAAAAAAAACTGTAAGGAGGCAATATCTGACTTTCATCATTAATCCAAAGTCATCCTGTTAAAACTAGGCCCTCCTAGCATTATTCTTGGAGAATCTTTCAATAGTAATTCATCAAGTTGCAGGTTATTTATGTGGGTCTGTCAATTTATCAAACCACGGTGGTTTCCATGTCTCTGCAAAATAGGAAATGGTATCACTGGGAGTCAAACAGGAGCAAGATTATCCATGGTAGACATGTCTTAATGGAGCTCTCAGACTGAGAAAGACCAGGGGGGAAGGTCTCATGAGCTACTTCTGTTAATTAAAATCTAACAGATCTTAGGGGAGTTCTGGTGGCCTACTGGCAAGAGGCTGCACTGCAATCCTGAAGGCACGTCGTTCGAATCCACCAGATGCTCCCCTGGAGAAGACGGGCAATCTCCTTCTGTGCCAGTTGGATCCGATTTGATGGCACACAAGAAAGAAAAAAATCTAACAGATCACAAGAGAACACTGTCTAACTCTCTTGCTTTGGATATGTCACTAGGACGGATCAGTCTCTACTGAAGGACATCATGTCTGGCCAAGTAGTGGGTCAAAGAAGGGAGAAGTGCGTCAGCGAGATGGATTGGTAAAACAGCCAAAATGATGGCCTGAATTGCATTGGTTATCATGAAAATTATACGAGACTCAGCCTTTTCATTCTTTTAGACACAGTTATGATCAGAGTCAACTCAATGGTAGTCACAACAATTCTACTCATTCTAGATTTAACGTTAAAAAAAATTAAAGCAATAAAAGTAAAGGTGACAGCTAGGACGTCGGGTTTCTAGTTATAGATGGGTACTCCTCAGCCAGGAGACCTCTGACTCTCAAGTCTTTATTCTGTAAAATTCGAGCAAAGAAGGATCAATTACAGCAGGTAGGCTTTATCTTGACTACTGTGTACTGTGTCTTCTGACAGGAAAGAAGAGATATGCTCAGGTGGAATTCTAAAGAGGATGCAGCCAAAAGGCTGCAGGTAGAGGCGTCAGCAGAGTCCAGGGAAACCACCAAGGATGCAGAGGCCCCCAAGGACTAGCTACTAAAAATGTCACACCGGTCTCAAGGGGATACTGTTCGGTGCCATGGAAGTTGACACAACCAGAAGCTGCCTCAATCTTGTACGGAAACAAGGAATGGGGAAGAACAGCCTGGCCACTTTCTCCATTTGCCCTGAATTTCCTACTAGCACCTTCCACTGCTTAACCCAATTGGAGACCCTGGTCTGTAGGGTCTTTTCTAACACACCCAACTTCCTGGCAGAGAATAAGACTAAGAGCATATGGATGGAGGAAACTCACAAACTGCCAATTGGGACTGCTGGGAAATACCTTTCAGAGAGCTATGGGAAAATTTATCACTTGTACAGGCTCTGTAGGAGAGACTGTTGCAATCAATAGACCATGTTTGTCATGGATAAGAGGGATCCTGGTGGAAGGGATAATGGCCCCTGAAAGATGTCTACGTCCAAGAGTGTGATTAACTCATGATTGGTTTGGAACTGAACATTTTGACACTGATGTGTCAAATGTGTTAATGGTTACCTATGGTGGACAGTGTTTGGTGGAGCTCCCAGATTAAAACAAGCCTGGAAGCTGTGGTGGCATCCACTTCTGAAATAGCTTGTTTCCAGATATTCTGTGAACTTAGAGAAACGATGAAAGGTCTTTCATTCAAAGGGTCGCTATGAGTCATCAACAACTTGACATCACTTAACAACAACTAACAACAGTTTTAAGTTCCAGTCCTTGGGAAATGACATCATGCTGAGAGACATGGAAGGTCAGAGAAAAAAGAAGATCCTCAACACAAGATTAACACAGTAACTATAGCAACGGGCTCCAGTGTGTCTTGGATTGTGGGGATGGCGTAAATAGGGCAAGGATTAGATCTGTTGTTCACAAAATTGCTGTGAGTCATTGAGAGAGCTCTATCACCCTAGTGGATAGAAAATTATCCTATCAAGTCAAAGGCAGGTTATTTTAATCTGTGGCACTCAGGCCTAGTTTTAATTGGTTTGGTCAAACATTCTTCTAAGTGGTATAGCACTGGTCTGTCCATCTGCTGTACAGAGGTAACTCATAGTTGCTGTGAAGCTAAACACTGTGACACTGATGTGTCAATGCAATAATGGTTACCCATGGGGGACAGTGTTTGGTGGAGATCCCAGATTAAACCAGGCTTGGAAGCGGAATGGCATCTACTTCCAAAATAGTTTACATCCAGAAACTCTATGAACTTAGAGAAACAATGAAAGTTATACAGGTGTTCGGATCTTTCATTCACAGGGTCACTATGAGTTATCTACGACTTGACAGTACTTCACAACAATAACGAAAAGGTGGTAAAAGTTCAGATTTGCTGTTCATAGGTACACTGTGAATCGAAGTCAACTCAACATCACCTAACAACAACATGGTGAAAGGGACTTTGCAGATGTGATTGAGGACCTTAAACCATAATTATTCTGGGATATTCACATGGTTCCAATGTTATCACAAGGTTTTAAGACAAAGGTCATGTAGTAAGAAGCTGCACTGCAATCCCAAAGGCACACAGTTTGATTCCACAAACTGCTCTGTGAAGAATGGGCAATCTCCTCCCATGGAACCTCGACATCTCTGAAAACCTGCTGGTCAGCTAGGGATTGGTTCCGACTGAACAGCACATAAGAAGTAGTAACTACATTATTCCTCCCAGGAACTGTTAATATTTGTTGGAGGGGGCGGGGAACAAAGTTTCCTTAACGGGGGAGTGGGGAAAAGATGAAGGCAGGAAAATCAAAGTCAGAAGAGATGTGAAGGAAGACAGGTCAGTCAGGGAGACAGATTTGGCAATCTGTACTTCTTGTTTCAAAATGAAAAAGACAAGAAAACAAATCACCCCCTACAGCTTCTGAAAGGGATCCCTGGAAAGGAGTTGTGCTGCCAATCCAAAGGTATATTGTTCGAATCCACAAGCCGCTCCAAGGAAGAAAGATGGGCCTCTCAATAACCTGTGTGGAAAGTCAGCCATGAATTGGTTCTGCCCATCCACACAGAACAATAACTCAGAGCCTCCAACAGATAAGCAGCCTGACCAGCACCTGGCCTGTAGGATTGCTAATTTTCAAAAAGTTTGTTAGCTACAGACATTGGGAGTTTTCTTCCTTACCTCTCAGTGATAGAAGCTTTCGTATTCTCCCACAAGAGCACTGTTTCTTGGCACTGCTGATTCAGGGTTTTTTCTCTGGCATCTTTGAATTGGGGAAGAGACTTAGCCATTTCTTCTAAATGTTGCTTCTCTTCTTCATATTCATCCAGATCCTTTTCCACTCTGATTAATGATTTTTTCCTTGATCATGAAAAAGTTTACAGTCAATTATTACGTAACTCAACTCTACAGGAATAAGGAGAATTTGGGACAACCATACTAATTATAATTTTTCCACAAGTTTTGTGTCAAAAAGAATGATGAGGCTTCACCTCACATACTTTGGGCATGTTGTTAGGAGGGGCTGGCTATTCCTTAGAGAGGGTCATGATGCTGGGAAGGGTAGAAAAGGTGAAGGAGAGGAATACCTTCAACCAGGTGGATTGACACAGGGACTGTTGCAATGGGCTCTCGTGTGTTCAAAAGTGTGAGGATGGCGCAGGATAGAACAGGGTTCAGATCTTCTGTTCTTAGGGTCACTATGAATAGTACTAGACTCAGTGGCACCTAACAACATGTCAGAATTCAGATTTCTGCATTTTTGTAATCCCAATATGGTGTTTCAGTAAAAGAAATACACAAAACCACTAACAGTAACATTTTCTGTGATGAATACCCTAGTTAAATATGTGTATATGCTTGTCTGGACATGATGAAGAGAGAACAAAGAATGAATGGTGAAATTATTGCAAAGCTCTTGTAAGAGGGTAGAAGTGAAAAGGAAAAAAGCAAAGGAAACCTGCTCCGTGCAGAGAAAGCTTCTCCATCATTAGCCATCGTTGTCATGGATTTGTGCTGTCGAGTCACCTGCGACTCACGGTGTCAAGAAAATGTAAATCAAAATTACAAAAAGATATCATCTTACCTCTAATAAAATGGCAATGATTTTTTAAAAAGGAAAAGAACAGATTTTGGTGAGAGTGTGGAGAAATGGAAAACTTCATCTACTGCTGGTGGGGATCTAAAATTGAAATAAGTTTTTTCCTCAATCCGGGCAGCACACAGATGATGAATATCTGACTGATGGACAACTCATACTTGTCCTTTAATGTTATGTAATTGCCGTCACTTTGACACGACTGAACTTACAGCACACGCTTCATCACAATCACCTTCACTTGCTGCTGCATATGCAGCTCTTAAATCACTGAAAACATTTTGAGCTGTTCTCACAGTACAGTGATTCTACGTAGAATTCTGTGTTTGCATTGGTTCCAAATTATTGAAAATTTTTACTTAAAATTTACTTAGATTTAAAGACACATTGAGAAACAGGATTTGTTAGTAACCTGGGGGCCTATAAACTGAAGACAGAATTACCATATGACCAAGCAATCCCAATCTCAGGCACATACCCAGAAGTGAATGCAAGAAGCAAGCAAGCTTGGACAAAACCAACTGAAATGTTCACTAACACATGAATGGATAAGCAAAATGAGGTAGAGATATACAAATGAATATTATTCATCCATAAGAGGAAATCCTTATGCATGTAATAACTCACACAGATGAATTTTGAAAACATTAGTAAATGAAGTAATTTTCAGAAGGGTAAATATTGCATGATTTAATTTATATAAAATAAACAAAAGTATAGAAACATAAGATTTTAAGTAGATACAGGAGACTCTTTTAGAGAGTACTGAGCAAGCTGTTAACAGCAGTAGAATAATTTGAAAAATAACAGCAATAATGCCTAATGTAACCAATGTCATTGAATTATATATGTAGAAATCGTTGAATTGGTGAATGGTTTGATGCACAGTTGTTCTCTCTGTCTCTCTTACACAGACACACACCCACACCCACCCCCCATCTTTCCCTATCAAAAATGAGTCATCTGAACTAACAGTTTTAACCTGCAACTGAACCTCAAGCAGAGTAACTCCACTTAACTGGGTCTCACCTGTTTTTACCAGGTAATCACTGCTCTAGTTCCTTTCCTGCTGGTCTCTCTCTTGAACCTGAAGTTTTGCACATTCTACTGTTCCACCCAAGATCTCCATTAACTTCCACAGGCTTAAATCTATGTCTCATTCTCAATCTTCAGCTGACTTAACTAATCAGTGGCATGTGACATAGCTCCTCCCCCTTGAAATAGTTTCTTCACTTGTCTCCAGAAGTCCTGATTCTCCTCCTAGACCACTGACCATTCCTCATTATGTCTGGCTGGTACCTCTTCATAGCCCTGGTTTTCCAACCATGAGCATCTGAAGTTATAACTTGTTCCTCTTCTCTCTTCTATCTGTGCTCACTCCCTGACAATGCCATCCACTCTCACAGCTTTAAACAGCATTCTAAAATGCTGACAATTCCCAAATTCCTATCTCTAGGCCGCCTACTTCTCTAGAAGCCACCTATTCTGAACAGCCTTGTTAATGCAGCTCTTTGATAAAGGTTAAAGGTGTTAGATACACAGAATGGAAATGTATGAAACAATACTTACCTCTGTTTTACAGCTGGAATAGTTGGATCCTTAAGACCAATTTTATCAACTTGATTCTGCACTTCTTGAATGTTTTTAAAGAGCTCATTATTTTTGAAAATGCAAATCTCTAGTAACTTGTTTTCCTCAGTGAGTTCCTCAGACACACTAAATTTTGTTGACAAAACATCGATAAGCTTTTCACAGGAGGAGTTTTCACCATGTTCAGCATCTTTAAAGCTTATATCGAGTGTCTTCAAATGTCTGTCCAAACGGCTGGCTTTGTCCTTCATTAGGTGAAGTTTTCCCTTTGTGTTTTCTATTGTCAAAGTACTTTCTGGTAGCATCTGTGTGTGTGAGGTTGAAAGGTCTGTACCAAGCTCAACTGAGTGTCCCACTGCTCTTAGAAAAGTCAAAAAATCTTCCAAATTTTTGAGGCCGTCTCTGCTCCTCTGAACCTTGTGATTCAGGTCTTCAAGTTGTGCTTTGCACTTGAGTACAATATTCTGAATTGCATGTAGATCAAATGGGTGTAATGCCTTTTGTGCAAAATTGCCCGACTTTTCCATATTGCTATATGTTTCAATCTGATTTGCTATGGAATCTTGAATGTTCTAAAATAAATGGGGGAAAGTTGAAAAGACTGAGCAAGAAAAAAACTAGGCTGTGCTAAGCCCAAATTGTGTGAATAAGGTTGAATTAGAAAATGCCCCTGAGTTTCAATGAAGCAGACAGCTTTGACTAAAGAAAGATTTTAATTACAAATTATCAGTCTGACAAGCTGTTTCGTTATCAGATACTCTCTCTGAGGTCTCAATCCCAAAAAGGAAAACACATATATAAATGTATTCCTTCAATGAAAGTAAGTAGTGACTTATCTGTTGAGAGATCTGCTTTATAATTTGAAAATATTATTTTTAATTTAAGATAGGAGTTGGAGCATGTAAACTCCAAAACTTTTTTTTCTTTTTGGCCAACTTAAGCACATAAGTCTAATAAGATATTTAGGAAATCCATAATTAGAGAAAATATTCATAAGCGAAACATCACTGTGAATTCAAAGAAAAGCACCCATCATTTACTCTAGGGTAACTTACCTCCAATTTTTAAAGAAATTAACAAGTTGAGAAATAAACAGCTCTGCTACTAATTTTCAATAATTAGTAATAATTATTTGAATAACTAAGTCCAATATCAAGTCTCATTGAAGAGTTTACTTTCAGGGAATTACAGTCTACTGATACCCACTGATGCAAGATTAAAAATCCATAGATACATAGGTACCTGTGAGCAAGTGACTGTTGTGTAAATATGCTGTGAGGACTTATATTTACCTCCAGGTTTTGATAAATGCTATCAGCATCAGTAAGATGAAATTCCTGAATGGCCATTTCGTGGAGGAGCAGGTCTGAGCCACAGAGAGAAAGGGATTCCTTCTCCACTGGTAACACAATCTGCAGGGCAGCCTCTAAAGACTCCATTCTAGGAGGAAAAGAAACTAGATATGAGCGAAAGGCACAGCACAGCAAGATCCTATTAAAGATAACAGCACCATTCTTTAGCCATAAGCATAACATTTGGTTTAGAATATGCATACAGTGATACGTACAGATCATCACATTCAAATTCAAACTCAGCCATCTAAAATGTCAAAGAAAAAAACTACTGCCTGTTCAAAGTGTTCTTAATAGTTTAATAGATACCAAAATGAATAGAAAGTTATTCTAAAATATACTGGGCCTTTATCTTTTGAAGTACTGATCTTTATCTTTTGAAGTACTGAATTTAATAAAACTTTTATCTTAATGACTAAGAAACCCCATAATGAATAAGAATTATTAATGAAAATATAACAGTTTTAAACACTAGGGTCTACTGATTATAAAACAAGATGTGTGATTCTGTATAGTTAGCATATGCACTTCAAATCTACTTTCTCCTTTGTAAAACAGGGACATATACTGGGGATAGTAACAGCATCTTCATTTTAGAAACGAGGAAGTCAAGCTCAAAGAAGTTATGTGCATGGCCAAAATCACACTAATGGCAGATAACGAGAAAAGCCTGGGGTCTGGAACGCTACAGTTCTTAAATTCCATGTAAGCTCTGGGTGTTGGTATTACTTGGTTACGCCATTTAACCTGAGCATCAGATTCTACCTGTACAAAAACCCCCACACACAACTGTCACTCCCCTTAGAGCTGTGAAGATTAAGGGACATGCACATACTGCTGTTCTGGGTGCAACTGACTCGGTTCTGACCCACAGCAACTGTGTGCACAACGGAGCAAAGCTCTGTTTTGTCCTGCAACATCCCCATGATCACAGCTATGTTTGAGCCTGATAGTGAAAAGTAACATATTTATCAAATACATGATTACTAGATTTCAGGACTGTACCTGGCTTGGAGGGCCACCTGCAGCTCTCTTTCTTTCCCCTTCAATCTGTCCCTGGCCTTTGCTATAATAGGCTTCTTCACATCACTCACAAGATTTTCTAGCTTCAGTGAAGTTATTTCAAATTCCTTCCAGCAAACATCGGTTTCACTTTTCAAAACCTAGATAAAATGAGTAAATTATCAAATAATGGAGTAACAGACACAATTTTATATTTATAAAATGAGACAGTCATCAACTCTGAGAAGAACATTTCACATGAAAATGTACAGAGAAATATCTTTCAACTATCCACATGTGAAGTTTCCTTCAGAGAATAAATTGTGCTCTCCAAAAACCATTAAATGAAGATAAAGGGTAAACAATAAGGCTTTCAAGGGTACAGACTCTCTCTTTTCCACTAATGAGTTATGTACCATCAAGTCAGATGTGACCCACAGATGATCCTCCAGTGGGTTTTCAGAGTCAGTTTAATTGTATGGGAGATTTCCCATTTTTTCTCCATGGAGAAGCCGGTGTATTTGAACAGCATGCCTTCAAGTTGGCAGCACAACTCTTTACCCACTGGGCCATGAGAGTTCCCTAAGTTATAACAAATACACAGAATACAATTCACAGAGCTACACATAAGGATAGATAATCTAATTTTTGTGAACAGTAAACTCTGCTACCTTCTATACTAAAAGAAAATTGGAGGGAAAGAAAACAGTATCTATATCAATTAAAAGTGAAGGAAATTAACCTATGATTTATAATTAAGCATCTACAATTCTATATTACATTTATTTTGGTTCTTCCCTTTAAAAAAAGAAAAGCACTGCTGCAGAGTCTGACTGCATGCTCATTAGTTTAATTTGCTCCTCATTTCCCCTCAGGATTAGGATAGCTTTTTTCTAACCAATTCATTATTCAGTCACTGGAGTAAGGTCTCAAGACAGTTTCTTAATTATAATGAAAACATGCTACATTCAACACTTCGACAGCAGAGGCTCTCCCTTCAACAGCAGATGAATTTTGTTTATTCAGATGGAACAACAGAGAAGAGGCAGATGGCAGCACGTGACTCAAGAACCACCATAAAACCCAAACTGGAAAACGGGAAGGATCTGTAGGAACCATCCATGGTCTTTTCCCCACCTAATGGGTTTTCTGTGAGGGCTCCCTCTAACATAATCCCAAGCTTGCAACAAGAATGTTGCACGGCAGTACACTAACAGCTTTCAAGGCAAGGAAAGCATTTATTGTAGTGCTTACAATTTCTGTGCACACCACTGGACTTTTTTTTTCCAGTAGTTCCTCAGTCAAGTCCAAGACTTTCTCTTAAAATTCTCCAGGAGAATTAGTCAACTAGTCATCACCTAAAAGGGAAACTCTCTCCCCATTGCCTACCCCTTCTTCACCATCTAACATTTAGCAACCAACAACTGGTGAGTAGTAGCTTTACAAAATATAACAATTTTGACTGTATAACAGAAGACTACAAAAGTTTTGAACCCATTAGTTGTTTATATATAGCCAATTCTGGAATAGCACAAGAAAGACTAGTTGAAACTACTGTTACATACATTGTTAAAAAGCATATCATCTTAATTTTTCACTCAACCTCAAGCACAATTAAAAATTCTACAAGCTAAAGTATCTGCAATATCAAATTAGAGCATAACCAATAAATTAAGACTCACAGAGACTATCTAAGATTTTAGAGTTCCAGGTAAATGAACATCTGCAATAAAGTGGCATAAGAAACATCTAGCACACATTACCTCAACTAAAAGGTTGCTGTCTGCACTCATGCTGGTATTATTTTCTAACACAAGAGGAATCACATTTTCAGTAATTACCTGTAGATCTTTCAGCTTCTCGTGCAGACAGTCACTACTCATTTCATTGTCATTAGAGAAATCAGAAGCAATCTTGAATTCGTTGTTACAGAGGTGTTGTTCAAGAATTTCTCTGTGTGCATCATACCTGCAAGATAATCAATGCAATGTTACTTAACTTTTAAAAATAACGTAAAAACCTTTTAAAAAAGCTACTGATAACTGGCGCTGGCTGAAAATAGCCTGTGAGTTCATCCATAGCCACTGGTGAGAGTCAGCGCCCAGAGCCATCAGGGGCTTTAAGCTCGTTGCCCACTGCTGTGGTGTGGACAGCTGAAACCCAGGCCCCCAACAGGCACCTGGGGGGAAAAAAACCCAGATTCTACTTCATGCTCTCCTGGAGAAGGAGGGGCAGTCTCCTGTACCAGTCAGATCCAATTTGACGGTACACACACACACACACTTTTTCTTCTTCTTTTTTAAAAAAAGACTACTTCAGCTGTCGCGGCCCTCTGCCCGGGGCGGGCTGCCCTCGGCCCCCTGCCCGGGGCGGGCTGCCCTCGGCCCCCTGCCCGGGGC